GTTATATGTTCATATGCAGCTCCTCATAAAGTGCAGATTGGACTGGAAAGGTCAAAACATTGATGAATAGGTTTTATCATTTTCTTACATTCTTGGAATTTTCTTCTTCTTCCATAACTTATAATAAATCTGCTTGAGATGCAAATACATACAGCATGAGGAAACAGGGAGGCAAACAGAGAATCAGCTTGCAATTTTCTTTCTGCCTAGAAGTTGTAATATCTGTGTGATTATAAGGGCAGCTAGAAATACTTCAGGCTGAATTCTCTGTTTTAAAAAAAAGAATGAGGAGAGATTATGTGTAAGGCATAAGAAAATACATTAACTGCGTAATTGCACATATAAAGCATATCTGTTTTTTAAAAAATAGCATCCATGAGGTCTCGCAGTGTGTTTCCATTAATCTGCATAATGATAATTTAGAATTTGCAGGATGGATACCAAAGAATGAGGATGCCTGGACTTTTAATAATCTTTTAAAAGTTTTATTAAGAAACTGTCCCTAAATATGTTACAGTGCCCAAAGGATATAAACCCAATCAGTCGGGTGAGCTCTAACAGTGGGGAAATTTCATGTTTTGGAACTTGACTAAAAAGGAGCTGGGAAAAAACAGGGAAAAATCTTGTAGCCCTTTCCCCCCATTTCTCCTCCCTTTGGAATTCTCACTTCTGGGATAATTAGCAAGTGAAAATCAGTGTTTGTATTTACAGTCATTGGAGAGGAAGGGATTACAAGAGATCTGGCTTCCCCATTGACTTTGCATGTCAGAAGCTCACAAAAGGGGATCACGTGACTCCGGGACACTGTGATTTCATAAATATGAATCAGCTGTCAAGCATATGAATTTTGATCATGTGACCGCGGGGATGCTGCGATGGTTATGTGAAAAATGGTCATAAGTCACTTTTTAGTGCTGTTTTAACTTCAAATGGTCATGGAAAATATGTAGGTAGTCCTCAAACTTGCAAGAGTTCATTTAGTGACCGTTTGAAGTTAAAACAGCACTAAAAAAGCGACTTATGACCATTTTTCACACAACCATCGCAGCATCCCCACGGTCACATGATCAAAATTCATATGCTTGACAGCTGATTCATATTTATGAAATCACAGTGTCCCGGGGTCACGTGATCCCCTTTTGTGAGCTTCTGACATGCAAAGTCAATGGGGAAGCCAGATTAATTGAACAAATGCAGTGATTCACTTAACAACTGTAGCAAGAAGGGTTCGTAAAATGGGACAAAACTCACTTAACAAATATCTCACTTAGCAACAGAAATTTTGGGCTCAGTTGCGGTCGTAAGTCAAGGACTAACCTGTACCTTGAAAAGAAAACCTTGGTCTCAGCAAGCTTAACCTGCTCCCCGCTTAGGATACAATAGGAAGCTTTCAGGGTGGGACTAATTAGGATTATGCCAATTCCAGATAGCAGCACAAACTGGCCCTGGGCAGTTAATTAACTCTAATCAAAATTGCAGAGCTGAGTTGACTTGTGCTTAGCACCTTTCAAGGAAGGGCAGCCTGCCGCAGCAAAAAAAAAAAAAGGCAGTTTAAGAAGAGATAGCTTGTCCAAGCAATTTACGCCCTGGGAAATTCTGCAAAGGAGGGGAAGGGAAGGGTTTGGGCAGTCAGGAATTAGGCAGTCAGGCACAGGACACAGTCTTAATGGTATGTTGTTTTCCTGATGAATTTTCCTCTAGTATAAAGTTGCTGAGGATGCATTTAACAGTAGTAGACTGGAACATTTAAACCTTACAGAAATATTTTCTCCTGAGTGTCTAAAGGAGCAATATAGTCCTGGTACAAGGGTGCAAATTAGCTCCACTGCCATCTCTCACACTAACTGAATAGCTTGCAACATTTTGGCTTCCATTTTTTGTTTTGTATACCTGGAACCAGCAGGCACACTGAATTGTGGAAAACGCCTCATACGTTAAACTTGATATCTGCCTGCTTGCATCCAGAGGAAGGGCCTGTGTGGAACCAGGGGGAAGCCCAGTTTCCAAGATAATTTGAATTCACTCAAGACCCTGTCCCCACCTTTTCTGAGAGGTAAAATGGAATATAAGAGTAGAAGGGTTTAAAACAGTGGTTATTATTTATTATTATTATATTTGGATTTATATCCCGCCCTTCTCCTCGCGGACTCAGGGCGGCTGACAATCAATTAAAATACATAAATAACAATTACAAATTTAAAATTAATTAAAAGAAATATTTGAACATTGTCCAATTAAAATATAATTAAAACCCCTCTAAAAATTACCCTAGGCCAGTCCTGCAAGCTGGAATAACCA